GGTAAGCAGGAATTGGTGCACGTCATCAGAACTTGGGTCTGGATCGGGAGGTTTGAGCAGAACTGTTCTTAATGCGATGAGTTTTAATGGTGTCATGGTTTAAAGTGACTTCAGCAGCTGAAACTGTGTGTTTTTAGGAGAATTCTGTGATCCTAAAGGAGCTGGTGAAGCTCCGCGCTCAGAAGAGCTCTTTGCTGGGCTTCAGCACCCACGCAGACTTTGTTCTGGAGATGAACATGGCCAAATCTGGCAAGAAGGTGGCCAGCTTCCTGGGTGAGTCCTGCAGAACAACAACACAGCTGGAAGAACATCCAGATGTGTTTCAGTTGGTGGCTGAGAACAAAACCTGGTCAAAGCAGCCCGGAAATCTAAACCCAGTGCTGCCTTGGTTTCCCCTTCCTTCTTCAAACCAGTCCCGACTTTTTAGATAAACCCGTTTGGACTAGTAAAAAAGCCATGTTTGATTCACTTCGCTGCTGCTTTGTTTCTAACCATTCCCTCTGACCTTTCCCCTCTTATCTATCCCGCCCGACTCGTCTTCTCCGACTCATCTTCACTGACTCTTTCCTTCAGATCGTCCCCTCTGACTTGTCCTCTCTGACTCGTCCTCGCTGTGTTTCAGAGGAGTTGGCCCGGAAGCTGAAGCCTCTGGGTGAGGAAGAGCGAGCAGTCATCCTTAAACTGAAGGAGAAGGAGTGTGAGAAGAGAGGCCTTCCGTTTGACGGACAGCTGCATGCCTGGGACACGCGCTACTTCATGACTCAGGTAAGGAGTGTTTCCTAACTGGGCTCATGATGGCGTCTCCCTGTTCCTGGAGGTTTTGACTCCTCGGCTGCATTATTCCTCAGGTGGAGGAGACCCAGTATGCTGTGGACCAGAACCTGCTGAAGGAGTACTTCCCCATGGAGGTGGTGACTCAGGGTCTGCTGGACATCTACCAGGAGCTGCTGGGGCTGAGCTTCCAGCTGGTGGATAAAGCACCCGTCTGGCATCCTGACGTCACTCTGTACTCTGTGAAGGACCGTAAGAGTGGTCATGTGGTGGGACAGTTCTACCTGGACCTTTACCCCAGGTCAGAACCAGAACCACATCTCAAACGTAGCTTCGGTCTGTTCCCATATTTCAGTTAAAGTTTTGGTCCACAGCTTCTCTGATGGTTCTGCAACTTTGGATCAGAGCTCAAGAGTCCGTCTGACTAATAATTCTTAGTGAGCTATTTTAACCTGAGCAGAACCAGAACCTTTATATGTTGGGTCAGGGTTAAATTGGCGGTGTCTCCCTGCAGGGAGGGGAAATACGGTCACGCCGCCTGCTTCGGCCTGCAGCCCGGCTGCCTGCTGCCTGACGGAACGCGCCAGATGTCGGTGGCAGCCATGGTGGCAAACTTCAGCAAGCCGACGGCCGACGCCCCGTCCCTCCTTCAGCACGATGAGGTTGAGACCTACTTCCACGAGTTCGGCCACGTTATGCATCAGCTCTGTGCTCAGGTGGGCTTAAAGTGGTGCAGTCAGACGCACTGAGATAACTGAGAGGGCCGACTGCTGAGGATGGGTTCTGGTGTGTCTGCAGGCCGACTACGCCATGTTCAGTGGGACCCACGTGGAGCGAGACTTCGTGGAGGCGCCATCTCAAATGCTGGAGAACTGGGTCTGGGAGAAGGAGCCGCTGCAGAGGATGTCCAAACATTACAAGACGGGAAAACCCATCCCAGAGGAACTGCTGGACAAACTCATCAAGTCCCGGCTCGCCAACACTGGTGCGTATTACAGCGGTAGTGCTGTGGTTCTGGTCCAACCACAGAATAGGAGACCAGAAAGGATAAAAGTCTTTAATTTGGGTCCTCTGGTGTTGAATAGAACTTCCATCACATTAAGTCCAGTTCACCAAACATCTACTCTGTTCCTGAGCTGCTCTGGACCATCAGCTGGGCCAAAATCAGACTAGATGAAAGCTCTAAAATAATGAAAAATAACCGTAGAAGTTCTGTCATCTGGTCTAGTTCTGCCACGATTAGTCGACGTATCAGACTAATCGAAAAATTTGTTGACTGATTTTTTTTCGTTTGACTATTTTTTGTCAGCCTTTTTATCGCCTTTTCATTTTGGTCTCAGCAAACGGCTCATCTGAGTTCAGGTAATTCTGCTCCACAGACCTAGTTTTGCTGTGCAAATCGGCTCCCTTTTCAATATGAACATTCCAGCAGCGGGTGAGTCCAAATCGAGGACTATCAAGGCACCTGCTAGCAGACCAAAAGTATCCAAAGTGAGGGAATACTTTAAGGCAGCTGGTGGTGGAGTGGGTTGTATGCTCTGTAATGCTGCTTTCACACCAGAGGTGTTGTGGGGGTCAAAAATGCGCAGATGCAGAAATCTGGACGCTGGATCAAACTGGTCAGGTGGCTTTGATGCTTCGACGTTCTGGATGCTCGGCACTCTTTGTTTACCTACTCTGTTCTGTAGCTTTAAGCTAGAGAGCAGCTTGTCTTTATTTACTTGATGAGTTGGAAAAAATAGATTTAACACCTTTTTTCAGCAAGAAAGGTTTTTTTTTTTCATTAAGTACATTTTAATTAATTTCCTGTATATTTGATTTGGTCGGTTTGATAATTTCTCCTGGTTTGTGACTGATTTCTTGACTGAAATAGTTTTTCTTTTCTTTCGGGTCATAGGTCTTATATTTTATTCATAGTGGTTTCTGTGTTGGTGGAATCTGCTGAAAGTTGACCAACATGTGATCCACCTGCAGGTCTCTTCAACCTGCGGCAGATCGTTCTGGCCAAAGTGGATCAGGCGCTGCACACCAGAACCGGGCTGGATCCTGCTGAGGAGTACGGGCGCCTTTGCCAGGAGGTCCTGGGGATCCCAGCTTCACAAGGTGACAAAATAACAAACATACACACACTAATGCGCCTTTTCACCAGAACCAACTCAGAGTAGTACCATTCCTTTAGTCTCAGAAAAATGTAAAACTTATCAGTTTTTCTTTCCATAAGTTTGAAGTATTCTGGCTGGAAATTGAAAATTCAGCAGGAAATCCTGACATAAAATCAGAGCAAAGAGCCGATTTTACCCCAGAAATATGAAGCTTCACTTAGGCCGAGTCCTGCACACAAGTAAATGAATGGAAAGTTTAGTGGAAGGAAAACCTGCCGCAGGTGTTATGAAGGTGAAGAGCTCTGATATGTTCTTAGTTACCAGACTTTTGTTGGACACCCACCCCATGTCTGGACCTGGTTTCCCACATAAACTCATGAGTCCTCATTTGTTAAAGTAAGTTTTATAACTGTGACATCATGTCCACTTTTACTCATTAGTCCTCCTGTTCTCTCCATCCTGCAGGAACCAACATGCCAGCCACCTTCGGACACCTGGCGGGCGGGTACGATGCTCAGTACTACGGTTATCTGTGGAGCGAGGTGTTCTCCATGGACATGTTCTACGCTCGCTTCAAAAAGGAGGGCATCATGAACCCAGAGGTGAGTTTCCCATCAGGCCATCAGACAACTCAGTTTTACATGAAGTCTGGCTGAGATTCTGTCTCCTGATTGGTCCTTCCAGGTGGGTCTGGACTACAGAAAGTTCATCCTGCAGCCTGGTGGCTCCGAGGACGCCTCCGAGATGCTGAGGAAGTTCCTCGGGCGGGAGCCCAAACAAGAAGCGTTCCTCCTGAGCAAAGGCCTGACGGTGGAGCTGGATGCCAGCACGCCCTGTCCCTGCTGACCAATCAGACCAGCCCTGCCCCCAGTCTGAACTTTGGACTGACGTTTTCTAGAAAAAAAACTGTAAAATGTTAAACAGATGGACCCAATGAATAAAAAGAATTGAAGTGATCATTGTCTGAAAATGTGTTTGATGTTTTGTAGAAACAGAACCGAACAAGGTGGCTTTTAAAGAACCAGGGGAGGAGCTTAACACCCAACATCTCCAGCAGGGATGATTTATTTTTACGGGTGGAAAGCTGCTTTACATCTGATCCATAGAGTTTAGATCATCTAAAAAAAAAGAAAAGCAGGTTTGATTAAAAGAAGTAAAGAAACTAATCTGCTGGTCTTAGAGTACAACTTGCGCCGCTGTAGAGCACGGTCCCTTTGATGGCGACACAAACACAGTGAGAAGGTTCTGTGGAAGAGCTCTGAACAATTTTTTGATAAAGATAAAATCTACTGATGCAGTACAGAATAGCCCTGTGGTGTACAACATTCAAAATGCTTTACAGTGTAAAGTTTACACCAAATATGTAATGGATGTAAACTTAAAAAATGGTCAGATATTTAGTTGTTAGATGCACTTCATAAGTTGAATATTAGTCCTGTTTCTATAGCCAATAAATAAATTTGAACTGAAGGGAAATATTGGGTTTTACAGAAGAATGACATCTATGATCTTTGGAGTAAGGATAAAAGAGAGAATGAAGCCATTCTTTGGAATATTATCCCAACATTTATTCATCATTCAGGGCTTTAATTTAAATTTCACTTATTTAAAATGGAAATTATAATTTTTTTGTAAAATCAGAATTAGAACTTGATTACAACTGATAAATTGGTCATTTGTTGAAGTTGGTTTAATATTAAGCAGCTAAAAACATGGATCCTTTTTTAAGGTGCTGATTCTGCCACGTGCTTCCTGTTAGAGCAGAACAAAGATCAGAACATTTATCAGTGAAACTCTAGTCTTGCTTCAATTTTGGATCTCATAACTGTAAAGATGTTTTGTTTTCTCAGCATGGTTGGTTCATGTTCTGTTATGTGCATTTAATGGATGGATCAGGATCCTTAAAGAAACACTTGGAGTCTGAGGGGAACCTGTAAGCATGATTTAAACATGGCTGACCCACATGGTTCTATCTCAGCAGCTTTGGGTTTCATGGACATGAAGTCCAGCAGAATAGCGCGAATAGTTGTTCTGGATGACTGTTTTAGCTGAACAGGTCTGAACGTTTCTTGTTCGTGGGAGTTCAGCAGGAGGTCCCAGGTGGATCTCTGCTCCAAATCAAAGACAAAACTCGTTTCCTTTTTATTTCCAGGTGTTAAATTTTATTCTTGCAGAGTTCTGAACAATCTGGATGAGTTCCAACATTTATTTCAGGGCCGGAAAAAAAAAACTACAAAAACAGATGAAAAGATGAAAAGAACCAACAACACAATTCTGACTGTTACAGTAAACTGACCTTTGACTGTGATCTTAGAGGATGTGCTTCAGTCAGGCTGGAACATCTGGATACAGCTGTACATCTATTTGTTCTGGGTTTAGAACTGAATGGTTCTTTAGGTCTAGCCATAAGTTCTTGACCAGACTGAGATCTGGGTTTTGACTAGGCCCCACCAGCTGTGGGTCCAGGGTTGTTGGTCCATGAACCGTCTGCTGTGTTGATGTTAACTAGGTCAGATTCTTCTCCAGGACTTTGCATCCATCTCAACCTCCAGATGATAGATGGAACATCTGAGGAGGGTGAGGATGTTCTCTAGAAGCAGAGAATTTTACTGATTCAGGGAGGCCTTAAAGAACTGGAGCTCATTCCCCATTTGGTTGCGAAAAATTTTGTTCGCTTTTTCAAAGTTTTTTGCTGTCAGATATTTGCTCAGCAGGTCCTTGTATTTTTCAGGTTTCCCACCCATGTTGTTCTTCTTCCAGGACCAGTAGGCATTCCCGTAACCTATGTTTAGCTGGTTAGCGATCCAAACCCAGAGCCTGTTGCAGGGCAGCAGACTCACTGCAAACATGATGGGTTCCTCTTCCACCATGATCCTTTGGTATTCAGCCAGGTAGCCTTTCATGGCTTCGGTCACTTTGATTCCATCCACTCCCTGAAGATGGAAGAGGGAGACGTTAAACACTTTAATTTTGGACATAAGCATCCACTTGTGGTTCTGAAGAATCCTGGACATGGAAGTTATAGGAACATTTTAGTTCTTCTGATTACTCAGCAGGATCCAAAATGATCCACTGGGTTTCACTAAGGCCAGATCAGGACCCGCCTGTGTGTCAGTGCCGTGGCTGCCTGAAACTGAACGCACAACCTTTCAGTTTAACACATGACTACTCTTTCTCAGAAAGTCCCAGAAAATTCATCCCATCTCAGATTGTACCAGACTAATTTTAGGAACATGTTTAAAATCAGAATTCTACCAAAAGGGCAATAGTTCAATAAATGCTCTGAAGAACTGCTTGATTTAGAAAACCTCAGTATTTTGCACGTATAAGAACCATGCTTCTCTGTTTTCTACTCCCTGAAAAAGAAAATGAAAAAAAGGGACACTCATGTTTGTGCCAGCTGACCCTTTACCCCTTCTGGTGTGGGTTTTTTTTTTCAGCCTCCCTTTGTGTCTGAAATTTTTTAACTTTTTAACTCAAATCTGCATTGAATTAGATGCATATTTGTGAGTGATATGAACACATAGAAAAAAAATTATTATCCGGCAATTCGCTTTAATGTAAAATAACTAATTTTGCTGTTGCAGGAGTTGTCGTTGAGTCCTGCAGAGTAAAACTCTGAGCAAGACAGTTCATAATTGAGGCTGACAATGAGCTCAGCTTTAATTAATTCAGTGGAACATTTGTTCCGCACATCAGCCCATTTGTTCTTCATTAAGGAGAAAATCCTCTCTATAAAACCAGTGGAAGATGGGATGCTGAGGACAAAGGACACAGCAGCTTGGATGTTGGGAAGGTCAGCTGCCTGAAGAACCTCCATCCACCTCTGCTGTTCCTTTGGACTGCCAGGATTCCTTTTCCTGATGCGTCAGCATTTAAATTACTCTGTTCATCCCCCACACCGCTCTGTTGTCTCCCGCTATCTTCTCCGTGAGCAACACTTGGCTCGACCAATGGGATGAGGGTATTCTGGACCGTTACATATATGAAAACCAAGTCCAGTGGATATTTTTTGAATTTTTACGGAATGACTATGACCTGGATGACTGAGAACCTTCATCAGCATATTGCACTCCATTTTGGGAAAGACACCCTCGGGATAACGCGTGAGTATGAGAAATTGCTTAGGAAACTTGCAGATTATAGGAATCATCTACGTTTCAATTTAAGATGTAGACAGCAAGGTCTCATTCCCAACAGTCTAAGACTGAAGTCTACTATCAAAGGACACAGGGCAGAAGAGATTCTTAGGAATGCGCACAAAAAGCTGCTTAGTGAGAGGATTAGACAGACTCATTTCACAATTGAAGCTATCTCGCACAAAATAGATCAGATAAGGCAGAAGCTATCCAAACCTCTCCCCGAAACCTTGTTTGAAGAAGTTGCTATTTTGGTCAATAAAGCCAAGCTTTCACAACACCATAAAACAAAAGAAAGACAAAAAGCCAAATTCAAAAGATTACAACAGAAAGCAGCATTTAAACAAGAGAGCAACATGACTCAGGAGGATAACATCAAGGTTGAAGACAAGTGGGTTAAAAACCTATCTAGCAGACCACTGACAAAACCAGAGATGGATGTACTGAGTAAAGGCCTGAATTTTGCCATTGCTCCACAAGAAGTACCCATTGTGGAACTGATCACGGCCACTGAATCGGCCATCAGGAACAACAACTTGGCTGAAACGGAGGCAGAGCAACTCAGAATGAAGGTAACAGCCACCCTGTCCAGCGCCAAACCACCTCCTTCCAACCTCACACCCCAGGAAATGAAAGCCATAACATCCCTGAGCCAGGACCAAAGCATCACCATATTACCAGCAGACAAAGGAAGATGCACCGTAGTCCTCAACACCTCAGACTACCAAGACAAAATTATCACTCTACTGAAGGACACTAATACGTATGAATCCTTGAAAAGAGATCCAACCAGCGGCTACAAAAAGAAAATAATAGACTATCTCAAACAACTTGAAAAAGACAAGGTAATTAACAGCACAGCCTATTTCAGATTATATCCAGGGGAGGAAATTCCATGCTTATATGGACTTCCAAAAATTCACAAAGAAGGGGCACCACTCAGGCCCATCGTCAGCAGCATTAACTCAGTAACATACAACATTGCTAAACAGCTTACTAATATCTTAGCTCCCTTGGTGGGGAACACACCACATCACATAGAAAACTCCAAAGACTTTGCCAACAAAGCCAAACATTTAAGGATGGCTCCAGGAGAAACCTTGGTATCGTTTGATGTTACTTCACTTTTCACATGCATACCTATAACAGAGGCAGTGGAAACAGTCAGGACACGTCTTGAACAAGATAGTGATTTAAACAACAGGACTAATTTCACTCCGGACCAGATCTGCACACTACTGGGCCTTTGTCTTTCCACAACCTATTTCAAATTCAGAGGTAATTTTTACAGACAGAAGCATGGCTGCGCAATGGGATCTCCAGTATCACCAATTGTAGCCAATCTTTACATGGAAGAAATGGAAAAGAGAGCTTTAGACACTTTCAATGGAATACCACCAAGCCACTGGTTTAGATACGTGGATGACACTTTCGTCAAAATCCAACTAGAGGAAGTGGAAGCTTTCACCAAACACATCAACTCTGTTGACCGTAACATCAAATTCACCAGAGAGGATGCCAAGGACAACAAACTACCCTTTCTGGACTGCCTGGTGAGCATGGAAGGAGATGGAAGCCTAAACATTGAAGTGTATAGGAAACCTACTCACACAGACCAGTATCTTCTTTTTGACTCACACCACCCACTGGAACACAAACTCTCAGTCATCAGAACCTTACAACACCGGGCAGAACATGTCCCTACTAAAACAGATGGGAAGCAAAAAGAACAGAAACACATCAAAGATGCTCTCCAAAACTGTGGATATCCAAACTGGGCTTTTATCAAATCAGCAAGGAAATCCAAAAGACACGCAACAGAAGACAGCGATGGGAAAATTAAACGCAAAAACATCACAATCCCTTATGTTGCTGGAGTGTCTGAAAAGCTCAAGAGGATTTTCTCCAAACACAAGATCCCAGTACATTTCAAGCCAAACCAAACCCTTAAACAGAGGCTAGTGCACCCTAAAGATAAAACCTCCAGACCGAATTTGAGCGGAGTGGTATATGCTGTTCAGTGCAGCGAGGAATGCTCTGATCTTTATATTGGCGAAACAAAACAACCTCTCCACAGACACATGGCCCAACACAGAAGAGCGGCCGCCTCTGGACAAGACTCCGCAGTACACCTACACCTTATGGACAAAGGACATTCTTTTGAGGACCAGAATGTCCATATTCTGGATAAAGAAAATAGGTGGTTTGAGAGGGGCGTGAAGGAAGCCATCTATGTTAAGAGAGAAAAACCAACTTTAAACAGAGGTGGTGGACTCAGATTCCAGCTTCCAAAAACATACAATTCAATCATAGACATGATCCCTTCCAGATATCACCAAACCCCCCACCCCATCACAGAGGAACGAGGGACCTACCCGCCCCAGCCGGTGAACAATACCTCCTTAACGACCAACCCTTAACAATCATAGACAGGTTTCAGGTATTACAGGAGACAATCCCACCCGTTAATGGCAATCCCCCCTTTAACGACCGACCCCTAGAATCATAGACAGGTTCAGATATTACAGGCTAACGATGGAACTAACGACCCATTCATCGGTTACCATTGCATGTTTCCAAGCGATACAAGGCGTTGTCTATATAAGACTCAAACTCACTGCGGATCCAGACATTTGAATTGAGAAAGCTTCCTGGAGAGGTGGCGAAACGTCTTCAAATCTTGAAAACCAAGTCCAGTGGATATTTTTTGAATTTTTACGGAAAAAAAAAAAATATATGTTGTCAGCTCATTGGTCACAATGCAGGACAGGGCCCGGGAACAAGTTTACTGTAAGTTTTGTATCTAATGTTCCCCTGTTCTTCATTTTCCATTAACTGACTACTTTTTTACTCTCACAGTAATATGGGACAAAGTGCGTACCGTTTACACTAAATACGGGACAGGTACTTCTATTTCTAAATACGTTTTTCAAGCGATGGTTGGCAACCCTAGCAAAGAACCTTCAGGCTAATACAGTAGCTGGTATTTTAAAGAGGTAAACATTGGTTTAGTGAAGTTAACATTAAAGATGCATTGCAAAGTTTTCTAATGACACTTCCTCCTGTGGCCAAAGCACTGAACTGCACTTGCTTTCTACTTTTTTTTTTTTTTTTAAACCAACGCACCGGTTGCTTGCTAGGTTGGACCCATTCAACATGGACACTCAATGTCACATCCGCAGAAACAGCACGACTAACTTCCGACCAAAGTACATTCAGGGAAAATAGGCTACAGGCTTATATATGCATATGTGTTAAAATGAGCTGTCAGTATTTAAACAATATGTTAGTCTTAATTGGTCAAATCAAAAAGCTATTGTGAAGATACTTTTTAGTGTGGCGCCAGTGTAAGGCAGCCTTACTTCTGTCAGTGAGCCCCAGGGCAGCTGTGGCGACAATGTGGCTTGTCACCATCAGTGTGTGAATGGGTGAATGACTGAATGTAGTGCAAAGCGTTTAGTTAAGTCTTGTGATAGGCCTTTTACCATTTAAACCAGGGGTCTTCAACATTTATCAGGCCAAAGACCCCCAAACTGATGGCGAGATGGAGCAGGGACCCCCTAATTATATTGTAAGAAATTGTGTTATATCAAACTGGTCCTATAGTCACTCTATTACAGATGGAGTCATGTAACGAAAGTAATTTCTCCCTGGGATTATTAAAGTATTTCTGATTCTGATTCCTGGTTGATGGGACAGGTGTTGTGAATGAAACGGTGCCCAGCTTGAAAGAGCTCCTGTGTGTCGCTGAATGTGTGCATTGATGACTGAAAGACATCTTCTGCCTCCATTTATCTGTTTACTACAGTGTGTCAAATTCATGTCAATGCGTATTTAAAGACATTTCAATTAGTGGAAAAAATTGCAGGGGGGAATAAAAAAAAAGAAAAAAATGTAATCAACCAAAACTTTCACAACCCCCATGCAGTACCTCCATGCGTCGCGGACCCCCTGTTGAAGATCTCTGATTTTAACACTTAAAAAATGTCTTTACAAAACTTATTTTTAACACAGTCATGGTTTTGTTCTGACAGCAGTAGCCACCTGCTTTAAAATAAAAATGTAAATTTTTCTAACTTTGTATGAGCTAAGCTGATGTTAACTTTATATGTTTATATTCATAAATATAACATACAGTTTATATTGTCTATGGTTTATATTCAGGGAAGGGTGGCTTGAATAAACTATTATTTATGGTTGAGCAGACATTTTAAGTCACTTAGAATCTACTGTTAAGCATTTTTCCTTTTTGTTCGTCATTGTGTTTATGAAATTAGCAGTTTATAACAGAAATGGCTGCAGCATTATTAGGTCAGTGTTTAACTCTTGAAGAGAACAATGATGAGCCTTAAAAAGCTTCTATGTTATTAGCCACAATGAGGAAGTAAAGGTGAGATTTCCTGAAAAGTAGCCAATCACAGGTGAGTTACTCTCCCCAGTGGTAACGAGCGTCAAAGTGCTAAAAGTTGACACTTCTGCACAGAAACAATTCCACATATGTGTAAGAGATGCAGAAAGGAAGAATGCAGTCACTTGTGTAACACTGATTTACGTACATATTTTATTTTTATATTCATATATACATATTTTAGAACTGTAAATAAACAGTAATTTGTTTATATTACTTATTTTCTTTTTATTACTGTTTTTCAATGCTGCACTTTAAAAAATGAAATTGTCTAGAGCTGTTTTAAATTATATTTTTTTATACACTCATGTATACAAAATGACAAAATAAATCTGTCTAAGTCTATATTGGGGTTTGGTGGTGCGTCATCTGCCCACACATTTAAAATGCACGTAGAAAGTTGTTTATGTGTGCGTGTTTTTAAATAAAACTGTTCTCATGAGTATTTATTGTTCTTCTGCTTTTTTTTGACAGGCTCCAACTTGATACATAATCATCAATGAACATGATAAAAGCAGGTCATTATGTGTTCAAGATCATCTTATTCTTAAACTCCAGAGTTAGACAATGTGAAACGTAACCTGTGTCTAACTTCAGAGGATAAGCAGATTTTCTGTCTCTAACAGTCTTACAGGAACAGGTTCAGGGAGGAGTTTCCCAGAACTTCCCCAGCTTTCAACATTTCCACTAAGTCATGTAGGTTTTGCAACAAAAAAAAAAAAAAAAAAAAAAAGGCGGCATTAGATGCTTTTACTTTCTGTTGCAGCTGCAGGATGTAGGGCCCACTTCTACATTTAAAATGCACATAGAAAGGTGTCTATGTGTGCGTGTTTTTAAATAAAACTGTTCTTATGAGTATTTATTGTTCTTCTAATTTTTGACAGATTTCTGACTTCATACACAATAACCTATTCTATATATCGTCTTTGTTGGTTTGGGTCAATGTTCTGCAGCCTGAGACTGTGCAAAGCAGAACCTGAAATGAATACAGAAACGAGCTGATTCAATGAAAGTTTTTTGGACCTACAGAAAACAGACCCTTGGTTCCAAGATAGTGACTCCTGAGGTTCTTATTGTTTTAAGTTCCTCTGAATCTGTTAGCAAAATAAAAGCTCTGTGCTGATCTACCAAACCTTTTGCGTCCAGGTTTCTTACATTCAGGTTGAAGGTCTTCAGCATCTGGATCCTGAAGCGGTCGTAGCTCTGGTATCGTCCCTTCATGAACTCTTTGAGGTCTTCAGGCATGTCTTTTTTAGACATCACCTCCAACATGTCTGTAACCTTGGCCAGGTAGTAGATGTCCTGGATCATGAAGACTGTGTAATCGTCAGCCTGCAGGTCGCCCAGCTGCATGTGCTGAAGAAAAGGAAGCTTCAGGGTCTGCTTAGCCAGGTCCAGGTTCTTCTCCCAGAGTTCTTCATAGTAGTCAGGATCTACTGCGGAGAAAACTAGCCAACATCAGAATCTACCAAAACTTTCTACTGAAGGAGCCTGAAGCCTGTCTGAACATCTGTAGGAGGACAAAGGCTCACCTTTGTGGGCAGATGATGAGCACCACTTTGCATTTCCACTGCAGCTTTCTTGGTTGTCTACTTGACAGAAGGTGGTGAGAAGAACCATCTTAGGTTTGGCAAATAAACATGTTTCTGCTGCTGCAGATGTTCCTCTATGCATGAAACTCAACAATATTTAACAGCTGCAGGGGAACATACCGTGGATGTCTTCAGAATGGGCAGAGATGCTGGAAAACATCCATAGAAGACCCAGAACCACACAGGAGAGCTTCACTGGAGCATCAATGAACATGATAAAAACAGGTCATTAAGTGAAAAAGATCGTTTGATTCTTAAAATCCAGAGTTAGAGGATGTGAAACGTTACCTGTCTCCATCTTCAGAGGATAAGCAGATGTTCTAACTGTCTCTAACACAGAGAGGCTTGTCTTACAGGAACAGTTTCAGGGAGGAGTTTTGCAGAACTCCCCCAGCGTTCAACATTTCAACTAAGTCATGTGGGTTTTGCCAAAAAAAAAGAAAGAAAAAAAGAAAAGGCAACGTTAGATGCTTTCACTTTCTGTTGAACAGCTGCAGGATGGAGGACCCACTTCTAGCTGGATTGTGTGGTTCTGAAATGGTTCTGCAGGACATCCCAGCACTGATAAACCCATGTCATGCTCGGTTCTGGGCTTCTGAAAAGGGTTCTAGAGGTTTTTTTTCCAGGGTTGTGTTATTTCTCTTAGAAGCTATCCTAAGAATCAGCTGCAAATGTCATCACATTTATTTGTGATGATGGAAACAGAGTCTGTTTTCTGAAGGGTCTTTCTTGACTCATTTGTTCTCTCATGTCTCAGTGAAGCAGAACATGTTGGACTTCCCTCAACACGTGTCTTCCCATAAGGAGGTCTCAGAGGCCAGCACCGAGGCCGATAAGCAAATCTCTGAGTTTGAGGAGGGCTGGTTGATCTTTGATGACCTCTAGAAACATCTCTTTATATCTTTAAAATGGTAGCGGCACAAACGAAAATTTTTGGATCTTCTTCCCCCCGAAAGGATTGTTTGAGCTTCACAATGAGCAGAGGACACATCTCCACGCAAACCGTTCAAGTACCTCAGGAAATCCAAGTGGCAGTCAGCTCCACCGCTCCTCAAGGAACCAACTTAACCTGGGTAAACCCTATCTGCCCTCCAAGGAGTCAACCAATTTCTGGACACAACCCACATCGACTAGATTCTTGGAAGGACACCTTTTCTGGAAACGTTAGTCCAGTTGCTGTTTCTGCTTTTGCAAATTGTAGCTCAAATTTCCCACCGAGCCTGAACTAAACACTGAACTTCCCTTCTCTTGTCTGGTTCCCCAAACGAGGGCCATGGTCATGGGTGAGCTTAAACTGATTAAGATAAGTCTCAAGTCCAGAATAAGGCTCTGCGGATGAATCCTGGCTTTCTGGTCCAACATGCTAAGTAACATTCTGAGTTTGTTTCACTTAAGAGGTGATCTGACTTACTGTTTCTGTCAACAACCTGCGAAGGGCAGCTTCCATCTCCTTCACAGCTAACTATTCTCTCTGCTGACCCCTATCTTTGTCAAGACACAGAACAACAGGACCCAGTTTTCAAATCTGAAAAACGGATCTGCAGTGAACAGTGATGCACAGTGAAAGCACATTTGGCTTTCCATACCTTCTCCAGTCGAATTTGATCCCACTTATAGATTTTTACTTGTGTGATTTCTACTCTATGACATGTTTAAATTGGACCACAAAATGTTCTGGTCAAAATCTTTCTTAAGCAGTTCGGGATATTAAGTAGGATTGTCTATAAATTCACGTCCCCTGCAGCATTGTTGCAGCAGTGAACGCACCATGTAGTCACATCAGCCAAATTCAAAACATCTCAACCTCTTAACAATGCCCATTGGTAAGGTCTTAATTATAACTTCATATAGCAAAGATAGGAACAAAACATTGCTAGAAACTGTAAGAAACAAAAGCTTAAAAAAGAATTAGAGTGTCTTCTCAGGCTTTCTCAGGTGAGGTCGAACTAAAGTTCTGTTTGATCTAAAGCTGTTCTGGCGGCTTGAGGCAGCTCCCTCAGGTGAGAGCCGCTATACCCTTCATTTTAAAGTGATGGAGCTGCTGTCTGAGCGTGTACAGAGGGAAAGATTCAGGTTCTTTCTGTCTCCACCTGCAGCGGGGCCAGCCTTATGACAAACTTCAGAGAAACTGTATCAGCTGCATAACTAGTTAGAAGGAATGGCTGCTGGGGTTACTTCCCAATACTGCGGTGGATAATCGAAAGAAAAAAATAATAGGAAAAGATTTTATGAAACTTATAAATAGAAATCCAATTTCCTTACAAACATCTTTTAAAGAAAATCATATTTGCGGCAATAGATGGAGGGGGTTGATTCAGACCTCCCCCCTAGCCTGGGCCCATGACAACTAGCCCGGTTGTCCCCCTCTTTTCGGTGGGCATCCTCCTAACAGGCATAACAGCTTTTCCTTCAGTTGATTGGTCTCACAGATGTTATGTCTGGGGGGATTGGTCTGCTGTAATTTTCCTGGAAAGGGAGCATGGTCCTGGCCACAAATGGGGGTTGGTGTGTCATTCAGACTGATCATTTCAGCAATGTATCACAACAGGTCATATTCCTTTTTGCCAGCAAAAATTGACCACAGTTGCTGAGATTACACCACGTGGAATGTGGTGTCAAGCTGGGATGTTGTTTGTCTCCCTCTTGACCGGCGGTCACCAATGAAGAGAAAGTGAAAATGTTTCCTGTGTCCTGATCTTGGCACTGATGCTTGTGTGATTACTCATTTCACTCACCTGCTTTTTTCCCCGCCCAGTGCATCAGTCTCTATTTAACCAGCCTTCAGATTAGTCATCAGTACCAGATGAGATCTCTCACCACAGAAGCCTGTGGTGGGAGATCTCTAGAATACCTGTGTTTTCTGATTGCCTGATCCTGACCTGTTCTGCTTTTGGACCTCTGAGCCTGCCTGTCCCCTTTCTGATCTGTTTGCTTGACCTGTCTTTGGACTCCTGTCAGATTTCTGCCTGTCTGTTAACCAAACCGGGAACTGTTTCCCAACTCCGGTCTGGATTTACCTTCAGTACCTCTTCGGACCACTGATCTCCTGGCTATGACTACCGGGCACATCTTCGACGGCAGATTTGGCTTCACCCTCTGGATTAACCTTTCTTCTTTCGTCTACTCGATTCGGGTATCCTGCCTGTCTTCCAAACCCTGAGACAGCAGTGCTTACTGTAGGTCTCTCTCGGGGCAGCGCCCGCAGCAGAACCAACCTCATCCTCATCCTCCTCATTTGAATAAAGGAATATAAGAACATGAAATAAAATGAAAAATAGGATTAAAAAATAAATGTAATTGAAATATGTAAAGTTGCTTTGCAAAATAAATGTGTCAAAAAGAAATAAAACTACTTTATGAAATAATCACATAAAATAAATAAATAAAACACCTTAAAAATATATAAAAAAGATAAAAAATGTCTTAAGATTATAAATTTTTCTTTTTGGTCACATTTATTTTATTCATGGAATATTTATTTATAAGCATTAATCTATTCATTAGCTTATCTATTTGATTTTGAATAAAGCAGCTCTCCCTTAGCCTGAGGCTAGAATCGGTGGTCAGAAAATGGAAGTGGGATCAGATCCGTGGAGGCAGATTCAGGCGAACAAATCTGAAGGGCTGAGACTTGAGGTGACTAAACAGTGATAATAAACAGGGTTGTGGTGCAGAACATTAGAAAGCTTGGGAGAGAACCTACTGTAGTGAGACTAATGAGAGACTGAGAAAATACGGGAATAGAGCAAGGCGTGATCAGGGAGGCAAGGAAAGAATGCTGGATAATCTACTCAAAAAAAGGCTTTCAAAAAAGGTGGCACTTACTGAATGAAAACTGTGGATGCTTATAACACCAGTAGACAAAGTGAGTTGTATATTGCACTGATTGGTAATGGACATGGTTAGTACAGGTGAACTCTAGTTCAAAGAATCCAACTGATGCAAACTCTTGTTTTAAACCATATTAATCCCTCTTTGGACCCATGAAAGTTGAACTTATTTGTTTTTGTCAGCATTGACTCATCTTGGCTCATCTTCAGATATAGAATCAGAATAATAGATGGACTGAAGTTTTCTAGATAAATTCCTGTAAAATGGTCAAAAAAATTGACCATAGATTATATGATACTAAGATTATTTTGGTGGGGGATTTTAAATTTGGTTTGTAGAATCATCAATGTAATCCATCCTTATAGTCAGCATCTTACCCTGGTATAACGTCCCCCTGGTCAAATATAAAACCAAAAACAGTCGTATAATATTAACAGGGTCACCTAAATTATTGGATTACAGAAAAGTCCCTTTATGAATTGATTTAGAGCTCTTTCACCAGTAAAGCCGCCCTAATAACAGATGGCCCATCTTACCCCATCATTTATTTCACCTGCTACATTAGGAAGAAGGTGTGGCAACAAATGCGTGCTGACCAATCAGCCAAAAAATATCCCTGTGTTGTGTATCAACTTTAAAGTCGTTAAAATCTGAGGTTTAAAGTAGAGTTTTAAATTGGCTTGTACATGTTTTCTTTTATCTGGTTAATGGGGTTTCTGTTTTTATTTATTAATTAACACATTTAAGCAAATAACTTGGAATGCTTTTGATTATGATACTGTTGAAGAACAATTTCTGTCACCAATTGAGACTGATTCCTATCCTGTTCTATACTCTGGGAAACAATTCCCGTGTTTGATGGCTGACATGATGATGATGAAAGCCTGTTTAACCTGGTTTTCATGGGGTACCTAATAAAGTGTCCAGTCAGTGTGGTTGAAGGTTATGGTTTTTACTTAAGCTCAGAACATTTCTGCCTTCCAACTGAGGTTGTCATAAGGAAGAAACTAAAACTGTTTTTTTTTTTTTTTGTAATGGGAACTGGTCAGGAATCATGTTCTTGTTCCAGAGGGTTGTGCTCCATTAAAGAAAAACAGGTCCCATTTGTATCTCAGCTCCAAATGAAGCACAAAAGCCTGTTGATGCTCAGGTATGATATCTTATTGTTTAAGAGTTCCAAACCTTTTTCATTAGTTCTAACATTTACACACACATATGTTCTTCTTTTGCTGTTCCTACAATAAATTCAGATAATTTGAACTTTCAACATGGCACAATAAATCAGAACAATGAAAAAAGTTTCAAAGAAATGTAGTATGGTGGAATATCTGAGGAGGGTGAATATATTCTCTAGAAGCAGAGATTTTTACTGTTTCAGGGAGTTCTCAAAGAAGTCGTGCTCATTATTCATTTGCTTGCGAAAAATTTCGTTCGCTTTTACAAAATTTTCTCCATTCAGATATTTGTTCAGCAGGGCCTTGAAGTGTTTTTCAGTGTGTCCACCCATGTTGTTCTTCTTCCAGGTCCAGTAGGCGTTCCCATAACCTATGTTTAGCTGGTCAGCGATCCAAGCCCAGAGCCTGTTGCAGGGAAGCAGCCCCACAGCGAACATGATGGGTTCCTCCTTCTCCATAATCCTTTTGTATTCAGCCAGGTAGCTTTCCATGACTTCGGTCACTTTGATTTCATTCACACCCTGAAGATGGAAGACAGAGATGTTAAAGACTTTAATTTTGGTAATGAGAATCCTCTCCAATCCCAGTAAATAGGAATGTTCTAGTTCTTGTAAATACTCAGCTATTTTGTTTATTTGGGAAATTAAAAACTCCCATCAATATTACCTGACTGTCCTTCCTGAAATCAAGGCCCGACCTAAAATCCAGGTTGGCTCGGACAGAAATAAAATCTATACTCTTGTGTTCTATGACGCTAAATGTAATTCAGTTATATCATCTGGGTTTAATCATGATAATTACTCAAATAGGAAAGCATTAAGTTTAATGCTCCAGCGGTTTAAATTCAATGAATAGAGCCACATTCCTTTTTGGTGCGTTACTTAAGTGCTTATAATCTAACTATTGTGGACTGGGTACATTTACTGCAAAATTTTCTGTATACACCCTGAGCTGTGTGACGCACTGTGCCAAAGTTTTTTTTTTTTTGTATGCTTTATACATCAGGGTCAGGTTTCTTACATTCAGGTTGAAGGTCTTCAGCATCTCAGTCCTGAAGCGGTCGTAGCTCTCGTATCGTCCCTTCATGAACTCTTTGAGGTCTTCAGGCATGTCTTTGTTAGACATCACCTCCAACATGTCTGTAACCTTGGCCAGGTAGTAGATGTCCTGGATCATGAAGACTGTGTAATCGTCAGCCTGCAGGTCGCCCAGCTGCATGTGCTGCAGAAAGGGAAGCTTCAGGGTCTGCTTAGCCAGGTCCAGGTTCTCCTCCCAGAGTTCTTCATAGTAGTCATGATCTACTGCGGAGAAAACTAGCCAACATCAGAATCTACCAAAACTTTCTACTGAAGGAGCCTGAAGCCTGTCTGAACATCTGCAGGAGGACAAAGGCTCACCTTTGTGAGCAGATGATGAGCACCACTTTGCATTTCCACTGCAGCTTTCTTGGTTGTCTACTTGACAGAAGGTGGTGAGAAGAACCATATTAGGTTTGGCAAATAAACATGCTTCTGCTGCTGCAGATGTTCCTCTATGTATGAAACTCAACAACATTTAACAGCTGCAGGGGAACATACCGTGGATGTCTTCAGAATGAGCAGAGGTGCTGGAAAACGTCCATAGAAGACCCAGAACCACACAGCAGAGCTTCACTGGAGAATCAATGAACATGATAAAAACAGGTCATTAAGTGGTAAAGATCATTTGATTCTTGAAATTCAGAGCTAGAGGATGTGAAACGTTACCTGTCTCCATCTTCAGAGGATAAACAGATGTTCTATCTCTGACACAGAGAAGCTTGTTTTTATAAGAACGGGTTTAGGAGGAGTTTCTTAGAACCTCCCCAGCCTTCAATGATTACTCCCAGTCATGTCGGTTTTATAGAAAAAAAAACATAATTTTTAACAAATATTTCCTTTATTCAGGATGACTGGTCCAGGTGATTCTTATCTGCTGCTGTACGTCTCTTTTCAGGTCCAGACATGCTCATTTCCTCCTGAGGATCTCAGACTAGGACCTGGAACTTTTGACATTAGAGCTGGACAGAACCACTGCTATCTGCATTTTCATGAAACCAGAACTGAACCTGAATCACTGTTTATTGTCATTAGACAGGAACTTTCGTTGTGGTCGAAATAAGAAAGGAGAGATGAAAAACACCTTGGAGCAATTCCAATTTTTACTCACTTTGTTCGCTTTGTATAAAAGTAAAAAAAACTCTGACTCTGACCAGAACCTACCATGTTAAACATGTTTTTGGCCATCCTATTTATTCCTGTTTACTAGCATCCAAACTTTTCTTGTTCTTATTGTCTTTAATCATTTTATGGGGATGATAAGCCTCCAAAAAATCTCTCAGTGGAGAATCTAGGAATAAAGTTTTAATAAATCAAACGAATCTCAAAAATGTTAAAAATGTTCTTGTTTTCCTGCTGCTTTAATCAACCTCCTAATTGCACTTACTCTTAAAAATATATTGGATCTATTTGTTTTGTTTTATTTATGTCTTTTTTTTTATTCTTTTGAAAATGATTCTTTACATTTTCTGTTGTTTGTTTCCGACATATGGGATAACTGAGAAATAGCTCAGTTAATATAAGCATATATCAAATAACAAAATCGCTTTATTCAAAAATAGAGAAAGTATAAGATCACAGAAGAATCAGTGTCATTCATTAATTTCTGGAAGGTTTTACTGCTAGAAAGAGTTTGGCAGCTGGTTTGGCCGAGGCCAAAGATCTAGATGATTCAACGGCAATGGAGGACACTCAGTAGGTCATTATGTCATAAGATGTTCAGTTTGAAGCCCTTTGTTCTTTAAATGCACACTTTATTTTTATACTTATTTATCTGGAGCTGTTTAATGTTTTAAATTCAGCTCAGTGAAGAAAATGAACCAGTTCAACTTTGCTCCATGTTTTCTAGTTTTATTGGTTTAATTCTTATTTTGTTGTGTTTTCTGGTTATATTTTAGTTCTCAGGTTTTTATTTGTTGCCCTCTTGTGTTGGTCTCCTTTTTCCCTAGCTCCTTAGACTGCTCTCTTCACACCTGCTCCCAATCTGCTGGTTAGTCCTCTCTTTGTTCAGTTAGCCATAAATACTCTCCTTGTTCAGTTCCTCAGTGCTGGTTCCTCGTCTAACTTCCTCCAACTCCGTGTTCCTGTTTCTTCCTTGTCATGATTGTTTTCTCCTGAAGTCTCCATTGTTTCTGGTTTGTTTTACTTTTTTCATATTTTGATTTTTGGATTCCTGTCTCAGTTCTTTGTTAACCTTTTATTAAACTCACCTCTGCCCCCCTGCCTCTGCATTTGGGTCCGCAAACCACAACCAAACCTTGACACAAGAAGAAATGTGCTTCAAATGAAAATAGTTTTTTGATCATGTTGTTACTTAATTTTTAACGGTGAGTATTATGTATATATAAAAGTTAGATTAGATCTCTTGAGCAAGAGGATTGCTTCATTTTGTTCTTTGAACACGGCCCTGTGATTGGTCCATGCAATAGTCACCAGCCACCGGAACCCCATGTGACTCTGCAAACTTGGCAAGTCCAGAAACAGAGTGATGGGATTTCCATGGTATCCCATCCAATTCTGTGGAAAAGGGTGTAGGTAGCAACACTGAGACGGTTCTTTAGTAAATGTGAATAGCTGTTAAAACTGGTTGGATTAGTTCTATAGGAACATTCTGCTGTCTCATCCTGCCTGCAGTGATGACAGAAGCAATTTGTCATAAGGAGAAGCTGTTTCTCTAAAGCTCAGTATAAACAACTTCTACATTTACAGATAATTTCTTCCAAGCTTTCCATCTGGATCACTGCAATGCCACCATGAGAACTAATGAATAAAAAAAAAATAAAAGTTCCTAAAACATTAAGAACAAAATATTTTCTCACATACCCAGTGAACATCAAATTGTTCAGGCATTATGCAACGTGCTTTGCACAATATTGGAACCAATATAAATCCAGACTATGTCAAGTTTACGAGTATTAAATGCATTATTTTATTCAGAGATAACACACCTCTTTGCCAGCCTGTATCCAAACAAAAGACAATTAAATTTACAGCTGAATTTCACACTACATAATGGAAAGTTTAAAAACTTTTATGTTCATATGTATGAACATAAAAGTTGGAGTGGGTGCGGCCAGCTCATGATAATCACATCATTTATTTGCTTTTGTAACATTCATAAAGTAAATATTAGTCTTTTTTCATTTCCCTGAAGTTTGAACCAACTGCGATAACTTAAAGCAACATTGTAGATGTTTGAAGAAAATACACAAAGATCATCATAGCCAGCTGCGAAAGTATTTGGCTCCCGTGAACTTTTCGACCTTTTGCCATATTTCATGCTTCAGGCATAAAGATATGAAATTGTGATATTTTAGGAAGAATCAACATAAAGTGGGATATAGTCAATCAAAACTATTATCAACATCTATGCCTTCGACCCTGTTCCAACCAAGTTATTTAATGAAGAATTTCCTCTTATTTCCTCCTCCTTTCTAAATGCAATTAACTTATCCCTGTTACGGTTATATATACCTACATCAGCTGCAGTCACACCGCCGTTTTTTGACCTCCAGATTCGTTTAAAAGGGATCCTGATCAGTTTTCAATAAGTGCAGGGCCACTGCACTGCCTCTGCATCGACTGTATGATTGTGGTATTGATTTATTCCCTGGGACCCACCAGAGGGAGGTTATATTCTTTATTGGCCTCTGAAGCCAGGCAATGCAAAAATACATTTCCAACTTTCTTAAGGCAGGGATTATTTGCCCTTCTTCCTCTCCAGCAGGGGCTGAGTTCTTTTTTGTGGGGAAAACAAAAGAATTGTTACCCGATTCCCCTGGTTAACTCGTCTTTTGACTAGATTCAGGGAGCTAATCACTAAACTGGACCATTTGGTACGCATTCAAAAGGGAGATGAATGGAAAAACAGCATTCAACACCCCTATACTGTAGGTCATTATGAGTACCTTGTTTTGCCCTTTGGCATCACCAACAGTCCAGCTGTTTCTCAACATCTTGTAAATAAGGTACTCGGGGACAAAATGTTTTATTTTGTTGTTTTCCTCTTTATTTTTTTTTCTGTTGTGCTCAGCTGACTTTTCATGCTGTCTCAAAAGGAATGAAAGATTTTTCCAATCACTACTTAGCTGATTGCTTCTTCCTCCATCCTTCTTTTCACCGGTGTTCACCATCCAGGAAAAGGATTCAAAGGTGCTGTTTGCCTGGTGTTCTGCTTTGAGGTGCCAGCAAGCCTAGAGGAGTACTAGGATAGCTATGTGTTTTGCATCAGAGAGCCAAACCAAGGCTGCTAACCACCGGAGGGTCCCGGCACCTGAATACCAGGAGGGTCAGAAGGTTTGGCTCTCCAGCAAGGACCTGCCCTTGGGGGTGGAAAGAAGGAAGCTGGCACCTGGGTTCATCAGGCTGTTCCCCATTGCTGAGGTGGTGAACCCGGTAGCCTTTCACTTCCAGCTCCCTCATTCTATGAAGATTCGGCCCACCTTTCATGTGTCCTGGGTCAAACCCTTTGTAACTTCTAGTTTTGCAAGCTGTGGAAACTGAGCATGTCACCAACATTGGTTTTCACTTTGCCTTTATCCTGCCTTCCTTCATCTGCTTGGTTCTAATCTCCAGGCTTTCCTCGGACCACCGATACATTAATGTCTGGGCCTCTCTGTGTGGCACCCACTGTGTCGCGTTTGCAGGAAATTAAATAGAACCAACCATATCCTGTGGGCTCGGACTGAACTTTAAGGCCAGGCTAGTGACTCATACGTTCATTATCATCCTCTGCCAGATAGATGTGGTCACTAACCTGTTTCCCTTAGCTGCCTACGCTGATCTCTTTGGTTCTGTTTCTAATAAAGGCTTAATAAAGTCTTACTGTTGTTCACCTTGAATACTGGATACTATTGTATGAGCTTGAAAGTTTAGCATATTAATATTTCTACAATATCAATTAACCACAGCTGTAAATACATTACAGACAAAATCAATCACAATAATATTTTGTTTTGTCTATTTAAAGTAAGACTTTTATACCTTTAACCAATATAAGATCAATGTTTTTTGTTTAGTTTGATTTCTGTTTTGGATCCCAACACCCCATATTGATTGATCCAGGTCCCCAAGTTAGGCCATGACCCCAACTTTGGGAATAAATCATCAATAGAAATTTAGCGAGAACTTAGACTAGTTGTACAGGGAGGCCCAGAACCAGTTCATATAAATTCTTCATGAAATATTGTGTCAGGTTGAATTTATTCCTCCAAAGTATAAAATCCCAGAACACCAAGCTGGTTGCATTAAATCATTAGCTTAGCAGCAATTCCTTAAACAGAGCATGCATTTGTTCTCAGTCGAGATGAAAACTCCCTATAATGAGAACGGATTTGAGAGAACAGAGCAGAGACCCCAGAATACTTTAAATGGGCTTGTTTACATGGAAATTTGTAGTTGAAACATAGATGTCCTGGCCACCTCAGCTAAGTCTTCTTAATATGGAGGAGAAACGACTCTACTCTGAGCATCTCCAGATTGCCAAACTCCTCAGCCTATCAATAATGTATGGACTTAAGTGGAGTCAAAACCAGTTCTGAGGAACATCCAGCAAGTAGAAAGTTGTATCACTATAAAAGAGCTTCAAAAAATAAATGTTGGATCCCTTCAATAGAAAAAGTTTGCTGCCATAACATGCCTGTAGTGGAAAGAAGAACAATATATGGTTCTACCCCAGGGCTCTGAAATATTTAACATGACACAGAGAAGCTGGGTTAAGGAAAAAGGATCATCATGGAAAACATACAAAACTGTCTAACGTTTTCAGATATAATTGTCTTTATTAGTTTGTTTCCAACACCCACAACTATAGTGAATATGGCTTTTGACAGCAGCCAAACTACAGACCCTCTGCCTTCTGTACAATTTTCATGCTGTTTCATGCTCTTTTCTATGCAAGTGTTTACATGTTGCTTTAGGCAAATGTCAGTAAAAAGTTGCCACGATTAACTGTAGTATTTTCTAGGCTGGGAGCTGTCTTCTTTTGGTCTCATGCCTCCCTTTATGAAGGAGACATCACCAGTGGCAGCAAGCTTGAACGGGCCACTTAAGCACCGCCCTTATGAAGGTAAATATGTGCCAAAATGAACGAACTTGTGAATTTAATGTGAAAACTTGAGAATGCAATGTGAGAATTTGTACCGCAAAAATATGAAATTGTATGCCAAAATGTTCTGCTGTAAAGAAAAACCGCACACACACAAACTGAATTTGAAGTTGCACTAAAAGAAATATCAGGCAAGAACATGTAAAAAAAAATTACACTTGTCAGTCCAATCTTCACCTGAAGAAGATTTTCACTCAAATCTGATTTAAATTTGAATGCACAAAAAAACTATTTACTGGTGTGTTCATATAGTTTTACACAAATAAAATTACAGCTGACAAATGATTATTGATAGTTTATTTGTAATTATTATTTTTTTGCATATGTTAATCTTGCATTACAACCTCAATTTAGCCATTACAGCTTCTTGAATCTGCTGCTTCAAGAACACAAACGCGCTCTCGCGAGACACAGCACGTTGACACCACGCTTTGACTTTTGTCACATTCCTTGCGAGATATTTGTGCCAAAACGAACTTGTGTTTGAAGATGTGAGAGCAAATGTGGGGGGGGGAAAGGGGGGGGGGGTGTTCTATAGGCCAACCAATCACAGGCTGCGTCTCATTTCGCAGGCTGCGTACTTCCTGGTGCACTTCCTGGTTACGACACGACGTCATCACGTTTACCCCAAAAACAGCGCCAAACAAAATCCGACAGTTCGAGAAATACGGAAAGAAACAACAAAAACAAAGAAATATATATGGAATTTTTTTTTTATTTTCTTGTTATTGGAGGAGGAGAGTCACTTTGACGGCTTCGGCGGCAGCAAAACCTGCGACGGATTTTTCTCAGGCTGGCAGAGCGCAGTGGAAAGGTAAGATCTACCTGCTATTCTAACCCACAGGGCCTGCTAATGATCAGAATATACCAGTTATTAAATAAACGCTTGTCAGCAGATTGATGAATATGTTTAAATATCAAATTTTATATTTATTTTTAAGTTTGTAATTTATTTGTTTGTAACTTTAGTAATTTGAATTGAATACTTAAATGTGTACAAACCCTGTAAATAACTGACTTGAATAACTACTTTCACCATTACTAATGTTTTGTTGAGAAGCCAAACTGTTGAGAAATAAATTATTTTTTGTCTAAATTGTTATCCCCTTACTGCCTGATTTTATTTGCAATTATATATATATATACATATATATATATATATATATATATATATATATATATATATATATATATATATATATATATATATATATATATATATATATATATATATATAAACATAATACAGGAAAAAAATAAAAATATAAAAACGAAAAAATAAGTTAAATAGTGGATCTAGATTAAGTAAAATTTAATTTCTAATAAATCATGTAATAAAGATAGATGACTGAATAAAAATAAATATTTTTGTCTATTTTTTTCTACAGGTCAAAACGGCATGTGCTGACATGCACAACATCTGCCTGGGAGCTGGTGATATCGCGGCCCCAGAGGATGACATGCCAGAGGATGAGGAGAGGAGAAGGTGTTGGAGGCAGTCAGTGGTGCTCCATGGAGGGACCAGCTGTCTGCCAAGGTGTCTGCCCCTGGAGGAGGGTCTACCCGACCACCATTACATTTAGATTGTCACATTTTAATCACATTTTAGCTGTTATTTCAGGGTAATGAAGACAGTTTTAGTAAAGTCATTATTTTCTTCGTCATTTTAAACTTTTTTAGTAACATGGCAGCCGTCAATTGGGGCAGCTGTGGATTGGGTCAGCCCTGCAAACCCTGATGGATGATGTGGTGAACAGTGGAGAGAGGCACCCCCACCCCCCAGATGATGTCCCACTCACAGTCAGAAGACTCCAAGGTCATCTGTGTGGCATCGCATCCAGTCCAGCAGCACCACCAGGGACTCCTGCTCAGTCACAATTGTATATATATATATATATGTTCTCTAGTAATATTTACTGTATATCTTCTGTAAATAGTTGTAGTAGTTAATTTTAAAATCTAATTTCAATACTTAAAAATGTTTTTAATAGTTTATTGTAAATACTTGCTTCTCTAAAAATAAACTGATGTCACTGAGAAGTTTTTCTAAGTTTACTTAAATTATAAAGAAGTGATGAAACAGATAAAAGACTTTAAGAACACACAGACAACAATAACTTTTATAAACAATTTAATAATTTAATTTAATAACAGCAACACATAACCTGAACTTGTTAAAAAAAAAAACACCAAAAATAATGTCTGTCCACCATCCTCTCCAATAAATGAAATAATCTGTCCATCCTATCCTGCTTCCCTCTGCCATCTGATATCCTCCCTGATTAAATCCACCAACTCGTCTCTCCTTCTTCTCTTGCTCCTTTCCCTCCTCTCTCCCTCATTCTCTTCCTCATCGTCAACCTGGTGCTGCTCAGCCTCTGCAGTCCTCAGGGATGGAGGCAATTAGGACAGGTGGGGCATTAGGGGGCCTCTGTCCTAATACCTCATCCATGAGGACAAACCAGGGCCAGGTGGCAGCAGTAGGATTCCCACTGACCCCCTGTTTTCTGTAGTGTTTCTTTAAAGCTAGAAAAAAGGAAGGTTTCATGATTTGGATGGATTAATGAAATTCTACAGAAAAAGACTTTGGAATGGTAACCTGGAGATTACTTTTTTAAGCTTACTCAAAATTAACATGAATATAATAAATGTAAGATGTAATTTCCCTACACACACACACACACACATATATATATATATATATATATATATATATATATATATATATATATATATATATATATATATATATATATATATATATATATATATATATATATATATATTAGTGTGTGTGTACATTATCCAAACCTGAACATACTTTGTATTTTTTTTTTTAAGTTGTCCCACACAAGGATCACTTCTATCACAAATATGAGATTTACAAAAAGTGGCATCTGAGCATCATTTGATGTGATCAAAGATTATATTTGTACGTTGGTGTTTGAACAGGACTTCTTTTAACTTGTGTGACTTTTACATAGAAATGCAACATGTAGATGGAATTCTGCCTCAACTCTTCGCTCCATCCGACTGCAGCAGTATCTTTGGCCCCGATGATGAAGTGGTCATTTTATCCACTCCTCTGTCTGCTCCCTGGAACAAAATGACATGTAAAGCATATTTCTGTTATGTCAACAGGCAAAATGACTGTTCTGTATAATTACACTGGTATTGTTCTTCAAGTGAATTATACTTTAAACCTTATTATACTGTACTGTAAATTAACTATACATTATTGAGTATTAAAACAAAACGTTTACAGTATTAACAGCCCAGTACAGCTGGACTAATGTTATTTCTTCAGCTGCATTAAGCTTTAAAAGTTCTAATCCTTTGTAATAAACTGTTTGAGAATAAATAGATCTGATTAGAGAGGGATACGGCTATCAGTACAGTAAGATGTAGGTTAAAATAAAAAATAGTGACATTTGTATGAAGGCTTTTAATTGTTGATGAACATCACGTATCAACAGGTTAGCTTTAAGCTTTAGCTTTAGCTGGTCCTACACATCCCGGTGGCTCTGTTACCGTCATGTATTTTAATAGATGTTCATTTAAAAAAAGCAAAAACAAACTACTGACATTTAAAGGTGTTCTCCGCTCTACTGCCGGCGCTGCTGCTGCTTTCGGTTGTCCGTAACTTCAAGAAAATCCGACTTTCTTCTTCTTCTTCTTCAACTACTAAAAAAAAAAAAAAAAAAAAAAAAAAGAAGCCAGGAAGTGCTCCAAAGGCGTCCTGCCAAGTACGCAGCCTGTGATTGGTTGGCCTATAGAACCCCCACCCCCCGCCCCCCTCCACATTTGCTCTCACATCTTCAAACACAAGTTCGTTTTGGCACAAATATCTCGCAAGGAATGTGACAAAAGTCAAAGCGTGGTGTCAACGTGCTGTGTCTCGCGAGAGCGCGTTTGTGTTCTTGAAGCAGCAGATTCAAGAAGCTGTAATGGCTAAATTGAGGTTGTAATGCAAGATTAACATATGCAAAAAAATAATAATTACAAATAAACTATCAATAATCATTTGTCAGCTGTAATTTTATTTGTGTAAAACTATATGAACACACCAGTAAATAGTTTTTTTGTGCATTCACATTTAAATCAGATTTGAGTGAAAATCTTCTTCAGGTGAAGATTGGACTGACAAGTGTAATTTTTTTTTACATGTTCTTGCCTGATATTTCTTTTAGTGCAACTTCAAATTCAGTTTGTGTGTGTGCGGTTTTTCTTTACAGCAGAACATTTTGGCATACAAGTTCAGATTTTTGTGGTACAAATTCTCACATTGCATTCTCAAGTTTTCACATTAAATTCACAAGTTCGTTCATTTTGGCACATATTTACCTTCATACGCCCTCCCTGATAACAGAGGGACACATACATTTTTTGACACTGGCGAGGAACATCCTATAACAATAAAAGGTGTCACACCACACCACAAAGTGGTGTCACAACCAGTTCTGAGGAACACCCAGCAAGTAGAAAGTTGCATCACTGTGACAGTTCTTCAAAACATAAATGTTAACCGTTGTACAGACAAAAATTAGTTTGATCACTTGTATAGAAACATTTTACATATTTTGATCTATCTTTTGAAAAAGTTTTAAACAGTTTGATTTAAAGCTACAGTGTGTAACTTTTAGCGACATCTAGCGGTCAGACTGCAGACTGCAGCAACATGAACACCCCCCCCCCCACGCTCCTCCCCCCCAACAGTACGGCGAGCGTTAAGGGACAAAATGTCTTCCACGACGTCCGCATCACCTACCTTCTCAAGTGATGAGGTTTGTTTACATAGATAATTTTACAGATAGTATTTCATTAGTCTGTGTAGGGTATAGATTTCATGTAGACTCAAGATAATAAATATACCCGTTATTTTTTCTACATCGTTGTGACGTTTTGGCGATCTCGCAATCACTAGTTTGTTGGCTCTGCGCTGCCGTAGCGCAAAGATGTCTGCCTCCATCGCTGCGAGACCCGCTCCTATGTAATTATAAATAACGAATTCTAAGGCAACGCAAATATTAAGGTTAAGAGGCTGAGCTCGTAGATGATGATAAATAACATAGATATGTATAATATATTACATTTCTGACTGTATATCCCTGTAATTATTACACACTGTAGCTTTAAACGATTCAGTCTCATAGAAACATGTTGGAGTCGAGCAGGGAGGCCCTCTGTTACTGGTCCTGTTCATAACCTTTCTGGACATATCTGTGAAGATTCTCAGTCATCCAAAACATGGTCAAGCTTGAAAAGTGCAGTTTAGACAACATAAAGTTTTCTAGAAAGTGATTTTCGACCAGTGTGCTGCGGCACACTAGTGTGCCATCGGAAGTTATCTAATGTCACCTAATTAACTATTGTTAGGTGTCTGTGTGGTGGTATCAGAGGGTGATATATTCTGGTAAAGGAAATACAGTGACAGTGACACTTTGAAATTTCAGCAAGACAAGCAAGTGACAGGGATGGGCTGTTTCCGAATGTCTACTTTAATCACCATATAGGGTATTATGTAGTGGTTATGCAATTTTAAATAAATGTCCCAAGGTCTAGTGGATGAAAACTAGTGGAATTTCCCACACTGCATGTTGAAAAATAGCGATGGTCCACAGTCACTAGAGGAGCAGATATATCACGGAATGCTTTGCGAGGAGAGCTCTCCTCACAAAGCAACATGGAAAATGCTGTCACAGCGGTCCGCTGTAATCTGTCACTACCTGATCCGTACAAGAAGCTCATTTTTGCATGTGCAAGCATATATTCATCCAGGTTACTATAAAGAATGTAATTACGGTACTAAAATTACTTATTTCTATTGTTAACTTATTAAAGAATGCTAATACAAATCATTAAAATTTTTTTATGACTTTTCTGAGATAATCTGATGCTTTTTGCATTTTCTCTGTTAAACAGCTTGTCTGATGTCATTGGACATGCTCCTGTCTGTTTGTGCCTGTCTGTTTGCTTTGAATTTTGTTCTGAGCTGTCATGACTCACAACAGAGGACCCAGTATTTGAGGCAAGACAGATAATGGGGTAATTCAAAAAGCGTTTATATAAACGACAGATGATTGCAGTAGCAGCGGCTAGGGCGTATATCACAGGATACTCTGTAAAAGGAAACACAGGTTAGTGACTATGTAAATCTAATGGAGGTTAATATGAACACTTAAGTCACTAACCTGGTTTAACAGTGCAGGCCATGTTCTGAGGTAGGATCCAGCCAGTGGGATGCCAACAGGATGCAGTGGGCACCTCCCAGGATGTCCCATGCTCTGCAGCCCTGGAGAATGGAGAACCAGCAGGAGTCCAAAGCCAGGTCAGACAAACAGATTAAACAGGAACAGGCAAGTTCAGAGGTCCAGAAGTCCAAAGACAGTTCATGCAAACTGTAGAGGTTTAATCTTGGTGAGACTGCAAGGAAAGTGCTATTTCTTACGCTGATATTCTCCGAACCAAAGTTACAGTTTCCACTGTGAATGTCCATGTAATTGAAATAAATCCACTCCACAACGTCTTGAAGATGAAAACTGAAGTTTAGTGTTCTTCTTAAAGCTTACAAAACGTACATGAATTAACAAAAATATCCTATGATGAAAATAAAAGGTTTAAAGTCTTTCATAAAGTTGAAGAGCAACAGGTAAGAAGACTGTTCGCTTCCACGGTTCCATGCAATCTAAAAATAAACATGCGAGAGGCTGAGGAAGCCGGCTCGTCCATCCTTAAAGCGACAGTACACATTTTTTAATCCAAAATCCAAGTAACCTTATAAACATGAATTCTTATTCTTTTAACTTTGTACATAAAATATTTATCATTTTTATCATGAAATATATCCATCTATCAAATTAGAAATTCAAATTAAATTATTATCTATCTTTTTAAGCATTCTTAAGCAATTTCTATTTATTTAAACTAAAAGTCCACTTTGGCCGCTACATACCCGGCCCCTAATTGCTTTCTATCCTAGAAACAATTACACAAACAAAAAAAAGTAATACTCAACAGTCCTTTTCAGCCTGCTTCTTGAAGCAGGCAGAGTTTGGTGATCGGCCGCTCAAGTTCGTTCGTCTTCGTCTTGACTCGAACCTTGCGGACGATTCCATGCTCATCCTCCACGATCTTCACAATTCTGCCCATCAACCATGATCCTCGGGGGGCTGATTCATCGACGATCAAGACTACATCTCCTTGGCTGAAGTTACGCGTTGGATGGTTCCATTTCTGTCTTTTCTGGAGTTGAGGCAGGTATTCTCTGGTCCAGCGTTTCCAGAACAGATCGCTCATGTACTGGACTTGCCTCCATCTCTTGCGTGCATAAGCATCGTCCTTGTCGAAGACTCCCGGTGGTAGGTTGGGGTTAGTCTTGAGCAAGAGTAAGTGTTGTGGGGTAAGAGCTTCTAGATCATTAATGTCATTGGATGGCGTAGTGATAGGCCTACTGTTCAAAATGGCTTCACATTCGCAGAAGAATGTTTGAAGACTTTCCTCGTCCAAGCTTTGTTCTCTCAAGGTAGCATTCATGATCTTCCTGATTGAACGAATCATCCTTTCCCAAACTCCTCCATGGTGGGATCCGGATGGTGGATTGAACATCCACTTGATGTCACGTTGAAGCAGGTTGTTCTCTATCTGTGCAGCATTCCACTCCTTTATTGCCTTCTTCAGCTCATGGTCAGCTCCGACAAAGTTGGTCCCGTTGTCGGATCTCATTTCTTTCACCTGACCCCTTCTTGCGATGAAGCGACGTAGAGCTTGAATAAAGGAGTTGGTCTCCAATGATGTTGCCATTTCGATGTGGACCGCACGACATGCAAGGCAGGTGAATATCACCCCGTATCTTTTGACAGACACTCTTCCCCGCTTGACGATAAATGGCCCGAACAGATCCACACCAGTTCTGGTGAAGGGTGGTTCGTTAGGTAGAACTCGGTTTCTTGGTAAGTCTGCCATCATTTGTGTACCTGATGCACCATGTTGTCTTCGACAGGTAGTACACCGAGACAGCATTCGTCGGATTGACGAGGGAGCATTGATGATCCAATACCTTTGGCGCACGTGAGACAGAACGTGATTACGTCCACTGTGCCCTAGGCACTCGTGTGCATCCTGGAGAATCAAGTCTGCCACATGATGGTTCTTGGGGATGATCATTGGATGCTTGGCTTCGGCTGGCATGGATGCTCGGCTGAGCCTCCCTCCAACGCGAAGGATTCCCTCCTCAAGCTGTGGATTGAGTTTGAAGAGTCGACTACTCTTCCTGACGGAGTCCTTCCTTTGGAGTGCAGATATCTCCTCTTGGAAGCTATTGTTTTGGCAATGACCAATGATGTCGATCTCCGCTTTTTGTAAGTCATCCACATTAAGGTAAGCATGTTTGAGACTCCTTTTGTAGCTCAGCATCTCCTTGTTCAACTGTTGTTCATCACTGCACAATCCTTTCAACTCCTTTCTCTTCCTAGACAGATTCAACAGGGTGTGCTTGAGTCGTGTGAACCACGCTACAGCCTTCTTGAGCCGTATCCATGAAGAGAAGTAGTGGATTAATCGCTGCATGGCATCAGTGCTTTCTACTGTGGTAGCATTAACCAGTATACTTTTCTTCACCTCAGGATCCTCAGCCATGAGCTCTTCTTGGTGTTCGGGGTTAACTGGCCACTCCCCTTCTGGTTTACATAGGAAGCCAGGACCAGCAATCCAAACATCGTTCTTCATGAAGGCGCTCACGGCTTGACCCCTTGATGCGCAATCGGCAGGATTCAACTTAGTGTTGACATATCTCCATTGATGCACGTTTGATGCTTGCAGAATTATGGCGATCCTGTTTGCAACAAAGGTCTTAAACCTGATGTTCTCATTGGCTAAGTACTTGAGAACTGCAGTGCTGTCTGTCCAAAACTTGGATTCTGTCAGTGGCAACTGAAGCTCCTTCTTCAGCATAATATCCACTTTCACAGCTAAGGCAGCCGCCGTCAGCTCCAACCGGGGGATGGTAGTTGGTTTCAGAGGGGCAACCCTCGCCTTCCCCAGGACGAATGAACAGTGTACTTGGTTACTGCTATTCTTCTGGACTAAGTATGTGACAGTACCGT